CCCATTACGCCCAAGATCGAGAGGTTTGAATTAACATTTAGGTCTTTTCTTTACAAGATGGCATKTCTTAGTTTTAATGTTTTTACCTTKGAAATACCAATATTAGTTGAAAAGCCCGGAGACATTTTCTCTCCATGCTCGATGGGAAAAGGCATGATGTCGGGATGATGGACTTGCAAAATTACCCCAAGATATGGCGATAGAGCACCAACGTATTCATCTCCTTCTACGTTCAGGGTAAGTGCAAGAGCTGAAAAATAGGAAAGCCCTTGGTGTCGTAACGGTATTGAATTGGCCTCCTGTGAGGTCTAGCGGGTTCCATTCCTGCTTTTGCCTTCACACGTTAGAAGAGTTTGATGAGTGGGATTYGTTTGGTTCGAGGGTTTTTCTCCGGGTTCTCCGGTTTCACTCCCTCTTGAAAAACTAAAGCTAAATTCTAAATTGATCTGTGATCATGGTTAAGTCGTACCTTCACTTTGATCAATCAAAAAGTCGTTACAGGCTAGCTAACGATAAAATGTTAAAGTTTGTTGTCCAGTTTAAGATGACCACAAATGCAATCTCTTTTATATGATGCAGACCTCGAGGAAAAGTTCAAACTTTGTTCAGTTGAAAATGTTTTTATTCTAAACCCCAAATAGATTTCTAGTGAAGTCCAAAGGAACTTGCATTCCTCATTTTCAAGAGCTTGATGAAACGCACACGATTTTGTTCGTGGTCCAAATCGTAACTTTTGTCATATCCCCTAAACTTACTTTCAGGTTGCCCTTTCGAAAGGGTTTTTAATCCAGACTTTTTTTCTGAAGAGTTATTCTGACCTTCGACAACAATAAGTGACGGTGGATGGAATACTTACGTTCTTCGTCTCCTGTAGATGTAGCATASAGTGTTTCACCGTTTTCACGAACGTTGAATGTGTAGCAGTTACCATATGTAGGTGTGAAGAACTGTGTGAAACTGTTATTGAAAGAAAGCATTCAGTATGTGGACCCCCTTTGACCTCATGTTCCATTCATTCAGTAT